ATCATGCAACCTGCGAGGGGGAGGAGGAGGAAGAAGAGGAGGATGAGAAGGAGGAGGAGGAGCCGGAGGAGGAGGAGGAGGAGGAGGAGGAGGAGGAGCAAGAGTGGAACCCAGAACTGGGCCCTACGCTGGAAAGGAGCACTAACAAAAATGCGTGGCAGACGAAGACCAGCTATCGCCAAGCACGGATCCTTGACTCTCCGCTTGCGGCCCTCGCGCGAGGAACGCCGATTCTCCATCATTCGAAAGGGGATATCCGGAAAGCCGAATAGCATCACCTTAAACGCGAGAATGCAGTCCCAGGCGGAGGAGGCAAGACGCTCATCATTCGGGTAGAGTGGTTGCGACGTCCAGCTCTATCTTAGCAGAAGCTGTACGAGTCGTCCTCCAGCCTCCTGTCTCGGTGGCCTGTCTCGGCAGGCGTCAACACTCGAACAAGCGGCGGGTGCTCTCCCCAAGCGGAGGCTCGTGTGCAGGAGGGAAGGGGGCAGGATGTAGGGGGGAGGGGGGGGGGGAAAGTGAGGAAAAGGAGGAGGGGTAGGAGGAGAGGAGAGAGGAGGGAGTAGGAGAGGGTGGAGCGGCGGAAGGGGGGAGGGAGAAGGGTGTAATCCCACCAGCCCTCTGGGCGTGGGTGGTCTAGAGCGTTTCCTCTTCCAACCCCCTTCTTCCCCTTCGGGGAGGAGTTTACCACTGCTCCTTGAAAATATACACCCCCTCCCTCACCTGACTGGCGACAAACCAGGGTCAATGATGACCCCCCACACCAAAGCAAAGCAAACGTTGTGGCGGAGTCCTGGACCATGCACGGCCCCCCCGCGCGACTGTTTTGTGCACAGGGATGGCGGGGGTGCTGTCATATAGTCTGGAGTGTGCGGGCCCACCATCCCCATCAAAAAAAGCACACGTTGTGGCAAAATCTTTGTCCATTCGCGGGTCCGCGGTCGCTTTGTGTTGTCTTTGTAATGGGGATGGCGGGGGTGCTGGCATAATGTCTAGTGCGCACGGGCCCACCACCCCTGCCAACAAAATATTGTTAAACGCACGTCGTGGCAAAACCTTGGACCACGCGCGGGCCCCCGCAATTACTTTGCACTGTTCCCAACTGTCATGTGGTGTTGGTGCTCGCTTTGAAGAGACAGCGCCCGGTGTCTCCCAACCGCTGCCCGCCCTCCCGCCTCCCGTCCCTGCCCCTGCCGTCCGCACTCCTCCTCTCCTCCTCGCCCTCCTCGTGCTCCTCCCATCCCATTTCCTTGTTCTTCCTCCTGCTTCTCTTCTACTCTTCTCTCCTCCTTCTTCTCCCCTCCTCGCCGTCTCCTCCTGTCTCTGCCCTCCGCATGTGGGGCACAGATGGCGCATGTGGGACCCGCGGCGCATCTGGCGACCCAGGCGCGCCTGGAGCGCCTGGGCCCCTGGGGCGCCTGGTGCGTCTGGCGCGCGTGGGCAACCTCGGCGAGCGCGGCCCGCCTCGCGAGCGTCCCGCACTCCTGGCGTCTGCTTGGGCTCCCAGGTGGCTGTCCATCCAATGGCGACCCCTCCTCCTCCTCCTCCTCCTACCCTCCTCCTCCTCCTCCTCCTCCTCCTCCTCCTCCCTCCTCCTCCTCCTCTCCTCCTCCTCCCTCCTCCTCCTCCTCCTCCTCCTCCTCCTCCTCCTCCTCCTCCTCCTCCTCTCTCCTCCTCCTCCTCCTCCTCCTCCTCCTCCTCCTCCCTCCCTCCTCCTCCTCCTCCTCCTCCCCTCCTCCTCCCTCCTCCTCCTCCTCCTCCTCCTCCTCCTCCTCCTCCTCCTCCTCCTCCTCCTCCTCCTCCTCCTCCTCCTCCTCCTCCTCCTCCTCCTCCTCCTCCTCCTCCTCCTCCTACTCCTCCTCCTCCTCCTCCTCCTCCTCCTCCTCCTCCTCCTCCTCCTCCTCCTCCTCCTCCTCCTCCTCCTCCTCCTCCTCCTCCTCCTCCTCCTCCTCCTCCTCCTCCTCCTCCTCCTCCTCCTCCTCCTCCTCCTCCCCCCCCTCCTCCTTCCTCCTCCTCCCCTCCTCCCCCTCCTCCCCCATCCTCCTCATCCTCCTCCTCCTCCTCCTCCTCCTCCTCCTCCTCCTCCTCCTCCTCCGCCTCCCCCTCCCCTCCTCCTCCTCCTCCTCCTCCTCCTCCTCCTCCTCCTCACCCTCCTCCGCCTCCTCCTCCTCCTCACCCTCCTCCTCCTCCTCCTCCTCCTCCTCCTCCTCCTCCTCCTCCTCTCCTCTCTCCTCCTCCTCTTCCTCCTCCGCCTCCCCTCCTCCTCCTCCTCCTCCTCCTCCTCCGCCTCTCCTCCCCTCCTCCTCACCTCCTCCTCCTCTCCTCCTCCTCCTCCTCCTCCTCCTCCTCCTCCTCCTCCTCCTCCTCCTCCTCCTCCTCCTCCTCCTCCTCCTCCTGCCCACTTGCTATGCCGAGACTCGTGCACTACTTATGTGGTGGAAGGGCGGATGGGAGCGAGCGGGACGGCCTGCGAGAGCGGGGTGGGTAGGCTGACCGCTGTTCCCTAGTAATAAGCACCCCCTCCCCCACACGACCTGCAGACAACCCGAACCCATGCCACCACCACCACCCATCCCTGACAAACACGATACAAAATGCACGTTGCCTCCCAATCTGGAACATGCGCGGGCGCCCCGCGACCACTTTACATTGGCTATTGGCAGGGATGGCGGGGGGGGGCTCATATTACTTGCTGCGCGCAAGCCAACCGCCCCTCTCAGAAAAGTATGCAGAATACAATTTGCCTCCGAATCTGGAGCACGCGCGGGCGCCGCGCAACCACTTTGCACTGTGTTTCGACAGGGACGGCGGGGGGGGCTCGTATGGCTTGCTGCGCGCAGTGTGTGTGCGTGTGTGTGTGCGTTGATAGGCACGGCGGGGGGGGGGCTCCTATTGCCTGCTGCGCGCAGGCCAACCACAAATGTCAGAAAAGCCTGCAAAATACAGTTTGCCTCCAAATCTGGAGCATGCGCGGGCGCCCCGCGACATCTTTGCACTGGCTTGTGTCAGAGATACTCCGGCCTTACTTATGTATTGGGAGGGCGGGTTGGAGTGAGCGAGACGGCTTGCGCCTGGTGGGCAGGAGGTGTCGTGACCCCTCTTCCTGCCCCTCCCCCTGTGTATAGACCGCGGGGGTCGCAAGGGTTTAGAGCGCCCAATATGGCTCCAGATGACTTTCAGAGATGCTGCAACATGGTTTTCGAGATGGCCCAAAATACCTCAAAATGGCTCAAGATATCATCCAACATACATTTGAGAGATCCCACGACAGCCCCAAGACGGTTCCGAGTGCACATCGCCTTGAGGCCAAAATGATTCAACAGGGTGTTGCCTTCTCGCCCGTTCGCTTCCAATGGGCTCTGAGGCCTCAAGATGGCGGCAAGGCGGCCCAAGAGAGCCTCCGAAATGGGGCCCAGGAGACCTCCAAGAGAGTTCCAAGGCCACCCAAGGGGCGCCCAAGCGCGCCCCAAGAGGGCCCCAACAGGGCATGCGTCGGTCTCGAGGGGGGGGGGGTAAGTCAAAGCCTTCTCCCCGTTTGGCCGATGGCCTCAGTCGCCCCAGGAGGGCCCCAAGACACCCCCAAGGAGCCCCAAGAAGCTCCCAAAGAGGGCCCGAGGAGGGCCGTAAAAAGGCTTCCAAGATGGCTCCAAGATGATTCAAAGAGGTCTCCAAACGGCTTCCAAGAGGCTCGCGGAGCGAAAGCTTCCCGAGGGCTGTATGGTTGACTCGTCGTCGTCGTCGTCGTCGTCGTCGTCATCGTCGTCGTCGTCGTCGTCGTCGTCGTCGTCGTCGTCGTCGTCGTCGTCGTCGTCGTCGTCTCCTGCTTCCTCCCCCTATCCTCTTCATCTTCCCCGCCTCCCGCCCACTCGTCCTCGTCCTCCTTCTCTTCCTCGTGTTCCTGCTCCCTATCTTCCTCTTTCTCCTCGTCCTCCTCTTCATCTCCAATGGTCCGCCCCCTCCTCCTTCGAAAGGGCCACACCGCGGCGGCATGGATAGGCTCCCCTCCATCTTAGATCCACTACGTATACGCGCTGGGAAATCGTTCCTGGATAGGCTGGTGAAGATGAGCGAAGCGTGAGGACGGTGAGCAGCAGGCAGGAAAAGGGGGATGGGAGGCGGAGGAAGAGGGAGAGGGGGAGGGGGAGGGAGAGGGGGAGGAGAAGCAGGAAGGGTGGAGGGGAGAGAGGAGGAGCTGGAGCAGGCAGGCATGGCCAGCGCGCTCTCCAGAGCATGGCCGGCTAGACGAGGCGGAGCGAACCGCCGAAAGCCGACGCCGTCTCAGCAGCACGGTCCTGGCAATGGAACATGCGGGCGCGAACAGAGCGACGAGCACGGCGAGCAGAAGCGTGAGGCACCACGCCTACTGCTTGGAAACACACTGCAGGATCATTTCATGTCAGAGCCCGGCCAGCTCACAAATAGCTGAAAGCAAGATGCACTCGCCAACGAACCGCTCTCAGGCCAAATCACGGCACCATCATCTTCAGAACATAGACGGTGGAACGACTCCTGTTTCCACGACGACAAACTCTTCGCGGCCTGTGGATGATGACAGAGGGACAGGGAAGTGCGGCACGGGAACCGGATGCTTCCCAGACGAACGGCCAGCGCCGCACATCTCACGCACACCCTTGCACCAATCATCCGCTGCGTGCTGTCGTCCAAGGGCCCGAGAGCATGAGGCAACGAAGCAACTGAGCATGCTCAAGAATTACGTGCACAGAACCGGCTTCTCCGGAGTCACACGGGGAGGCGGGGAGGGAGGAGAGGGAAGGAAAGGGAGAAGGGACGAGAGGTGCACCAGAGCAGACGGCTCCCTGACGATGCAATTACTGGCATCCCTGGGATCACACCGCAACGTGCGGAACGAAGGAAAGGATGTCACGCCAGCGGCGGGAGGAGAAAAGAGGAGGAAGAGAAGGAGGAAGAGAAGGAGGAAGAGGAAGAGGAGAAGAGGATAAGAGGAAGGAAGTGCTCGCGAGTGCGCAGACCGCACGGATGCCCCCCACAAGCGTGGCCCCAGAAAGGGTGGCGTATGAAACCAAGAGCGACTGCACAGTCAGACGATGAACAGGCGGCGGCAGGGAGGGAGAGAGAGAGAGGGAGAGAGACAGGGGAGAGGAGGTAACGCGAAGAGACGATCAAACAGCAAAGGTCATCCCACTTCATGCGCAGTCCCCCCACGAGCCGTTGCCACCAGAGCTGGCGCGAGGAAAAAATATTAGCTGAAGAACGTGTCAGGAAAATCGCCGGCACGAGTTCGCGCGACAGTCGTATCGGTATCGGAGCCACGGGTGAAGAAGAGTGGGGGGAGAAGGAACAAGAAGGAGATGGGGTCGGTGACCCCAGCCTACGCGGCAGGGACCAGTGTGTGGTAATGATAAAACTGCCCACGTCTCCGACCTGGGCCAAAACATGTATACCCGAGCGAAAATCTGTGTACACAGTTTTGACTCCACGAGCGGTGCGGACAGCAGTGCTCGGTTTCGCCGATGCGTCAGTTCGAAGGACATCCACATCAAGAGTGTGGTGCGATTAGTTCTCCACAGGGCAGAATGTCAGACACCGCCAGCCCCCGCCCACACCCGCAACCCCTGCATCTCGCAAGATAAGCCACAAGACGAGATGCCGATACCGACGTAAAAACATATCAAAACTAAGAAAACACCTCTGTTGTTCATGTCGGCTGACAGCTGGGACACTGTCAAGGGTTCTACAATCGGCTCCAGATATACGGTGAAGGCATTTTTTTATCATATCAGCCTGAGCCTTATCTTGCACACAAATTCAAAGGAGCGCCGCCCGCCGCGCGGCCAAGGCGCGAGCCCCCGCAACGAACAGGCGGATCGTCGCGACGTCGCCGTGCTCCACGAGGCTCAGCACCTGCGGGTCCTCCGGGTCCACGCCCGCCTCGACGAGCTGCGCGTGGAGGGCCTCGAGCTCTCCGCACCCCTCGGGGACCTCGGCGAGCGTCGCGACGAGGGCAGCGCGCTCGTCGCCCTCGGCGGGGGCAGGCGGCCCAGCAGCCGCCACCGCCCCCTGCACCCCTCCGCCAACGCCGCGCACGAGGCCATCGGCCCAGCTGTCGTCGTCGATCGGGTCGTCGGAGGCGTCGTCGGCCTCGGCGGCCGCCACAGCCACCAGCGCGAGCCCAGGGCCCGCAGGCGCAGCACCAGCAGCCGCCCCAGCGGCCTCCGCCTCCTCCGTGTCGGTGTCCATCTTGGCGGCTGCACACCGCGCCGCACGACGCTGGCGGCGGCGGCGCCGCCGCTCCACCCGCGCCGCAGGGTCCGCGCCACCGCCAGGACGTTCACCTTGTTGCTCCTCGGCGCCAGCCGCCGCGGCGGGCGGGGGCGGTGCCGTGACGGCGAACGCCGCCGCCGACACTGCCGACCTCGCCACCGCCGCGACCGTGCGCCTCGGAAGCCCTTTCGCCCCGCGCACGGCCGCCTCGACGAGGAGGGCCGCCGACGCGGGATCCAGAGCACCTCTAGCCGAGCGCGCAGCAGCCATCGCGGGGACGACGGGCCGAGCGCCAGGCTTGCGAACGCTTGAGCCAAAATGACGGTGAGGGCATTGGATAAGGAACCATTGGATAAGGAATCCAGGGTCTGGAAGCTGGTGGAATACCGATCGTGGATTGGCCATGGATATCGCTGCCGACCTCATCAGATAAGGAATCCTCCAGGGTCTGAAGCCCCCTGGGCACATTCCTTAACGAACGCCCCCACCGTATGCTTGTTAGTGCACTCAGACTCCTTCACCACAACGGTGCACTCAGGCCGCTCCCACGCTCAGCTCACGACTTCGACTCTGAAGTGTGGAACTGGTCAAGTTCGCACTCGCTGGATACATGAGGAGGAGGAGGAGGAGGAGCACAAGGATTTACATCAGTCAAGGTTTGTCTCCATGCCTCTGCTCCCCTTCCTCGGCCCGCCGAGTCCCAGAGCGGCGAGCTCGGCGTGCTGCCTGTACGAGCCCAGCCCCTTCACGGAGTTCTGGAACACCATCTCCACGCGGTGCAGGGCCAGCGCGACCATGCACAGACCCCCGAAGATGATCATGGTGGTGCAGATGCGGCTGGCGGCGAGTGATATTAGGTCGGGCGTGTCCTCCTACAGGCAGATGTTACACGAAATGCGAAGCATAGCCAAGAAATAACCAACAAACATATGATAAGATTCTCCAGAATACGGTAGGTTCGTGCGGCGTCGGCGTGGGCAAAGGTTTCTGACACCGCGTCGATCGTTCAACCTTGAATCGATCGCGGCCCCGATCGTTCAAAGTTGAATTCCATCGGGTCCAATGGTGTCACCGTGTCCCTCGGTGCTTCCGTTTCGCAGAATTCAACCTTGAACGCCCTCGCCGGCGTCGCCGGCGCGCCAACGCCGCATGAACCTACTGTAGTCAAAGTTCGTCCCCAGAGGGACGTGCCCGACTTGAGCTCGATGCCCGGACATCCTCCGGCAGGGCCTTCTCCAGGCGCGGGGCCCCCCGGAGGTGCCGACCCCTCCCTGCACAGCAGGGCCCGACGACCGCCCCCCATAGGGCCGAAGGCAGAAGAGAAAGCCCCCCACACAGAAAAAGACGGCGCTTGCAAGGAGCCTTATGTCGCCGGAGATCTCTCCTCCTCCTCCTCCTCCTCCTCCTCCTCCTCCTCCTCCTCATCATCACATTCATCGCATTCATCATCATCATCATCATCATCATCATCATCATCATCATCATCATCATCATCATCATCATCATCATCATCATCATCATCATCATCATCATCATCATCATCATCCTCATCATCCTCATCATCATCATCATCCTCATCCTCATCCTCATCCTCATCCTCATCCTCATCCTCATCCTCCGGGCACCGAGGATGGCGAACGCTTCCTTACTCGGCGCTTAGACACTAAACAAAATGGGGGGAGGGGGGGTGGGTCTGGCTCTGGACCTTGAGGACTGAAAAAACGCCCCTACCCTGGGTTACAAGTGCGTGGTCAGTCAACCTCCTGGGAGCTCCCACAGGCCAGAGAGCCGCCAGGACGCCGCGCGGCACGCGCGATACGCAGGGTTTACCCTGTCAGCCCAAAGGAGGTTCAGCGCACAACGCCTCATAAACAAGGGTAGGGGCGTTTTTGTACGCCCTTGAGGACCTCTGCTTGATGCGACTGGTGGTAGCAGTGCGTCCCACGGGGGAGGCCCCGCCTGCTCGAAGCAGGGGCCAAAAACAGCCAAGATCTACTCTAGGGGGGGGGGAGGGGGGTGCGAGGGCCCGCGCCGATCGGCAAAACGACAAATAAGAAAACGATCGCATGTCAGTGAAACATGCTTCATCACACCTTGATGCAGGACGTCTCAACTCGGACACCGTTCTGTGGCCATCCTGTTGAAATCCTTTTCGGGTGCAAACACTGACAAGCTGAGCGTCCAAGAAGGCGAGACTGCGACCGACGTCTCAGAAATAGAATCCCGCCAGCCCTCTGGGCGGACAGTGGCCAAGAACGGTCTCACGAAGCTCCCCCTGAGTACCTCCAAATCTCTCCAGGCCAGGGGAAATGCTCACCTAACCTTAGGTCGGGCCTGTCCCCCTACAGGGGGATTTTGGGCGACAAATAAACCATACCCAACAAATACTCCCAAAATGCTCAAAAAATAATCAAAAACTCGTCCCCGACTATTTTTAAACCATTTTTGAATTTCCCTCCTGTAGAGGGGGGTGACTTGCTGACCACCCCTGGCCAACATCGGCGAGAAGGATGAGCCATGGGATCAAAAGGGCCGTCGGGCAGAGACTCGAAAGTGATGGGTAAGGGAGCCTTTGAAGCTCTTTTGGGTGGTTCTTTGGGCGCTTTCAGGGCCCAGTTTGGCGGCGCGCACAAGGGGGTGGAGGGAGGGGGGAGGGCTTCTTGGAAGGAGGCTGCTTCTTAGAAGGCGCCGGCCTTACATCTATAGACAAGGCCCGCGCCTTCTAAGGAGCAGGGGTGCTTCTAAGAAGCCCTCCCCCCTTCGCCCACCCCCCTCTGCGCGTGGCTGACCAGTCTTGGGGTCAACCCCTTTGGGCCAGGCCTGGAGAACCTCTTGGACAAGGAACGGACTCGCACAAACCAGACTCGGACAGGCCGAATTCGCTCAGCCGAATTCGGCTCGGCCGAATTCGGCTGGATCCGAGTCTGGTCGGGCCGAGTCCAGCCGTATGCGAGTCTGGCCGGGCCGAATTCGGCCAGGCGGAGTCTTGCAGGGCGAAGTTCGGCTGGCCCAGTCCGACCGACCGAGTCCGGCCTGTCCAAGTCGCGCTGCTGCCTCTAGTGGCTCTCACAGGACATCCTTGGAGTGCTCTTGGAGGCCCTGGGGGGCCCTATCGGGCCATCTCAGAGCCATCCTCAGGCCTCAGAGGCCCGTCGGAAGCCAAAAAGGCGAGACCGCCTACATCGATAAACAGCTTGAATTGGCCTCCCGTGGGCACACAATGGCGGCTCCGGGGCCACCTTAGATCCACGTTGGCGCCTTCTTTTGGTAACCTGGAGCCGTGCTGGAAGCCGTCTTGGGCAAACATGGCCCTTCTGGCGCCATCGTAGAGGCCTGTCTTGCCTTGTCATGACTTGTCTTGCCTTGCCTTGCCTTGCATTGCCTTGCATTGCCTTGCTTTGCCTTGACTTGCCTTGCCTCGCACTGCCTTGCCTGGTTCAAGACGGGATCACGGGGGTACTGGCCCCACGATTTCAATTATTGAGAAGGCACAGCCCTGTCATAAGAAAGAAGATCCCGCCGTGGGGGCCCAGCCTTGGGGACAAACCTGGTCCAGGTGCCGAAGGTGCCGAAGATGCAGGCAACACAAACAAAATACATGTGCGTTACTCACTTGAGCTTCCCAGATTGCCGATTTCGCTCTGCTCTGCTCTGGCTTGCATCACTTCACGCTGCATTGCAGTTCTTTACACTGCTCTGCATTGCACCCCTTCCCCTTGCATTTGGCACCATGGCTCTGCAATGCTTTACTTTGCTT